GGAGGGAGTGGGAGGAGGGGGAGGAGGAGGAGGGAGGAGGAGGACGAGGAGGAGGAGGAGGGGGAGGAGGAGGAGGAGGAGGAGGAGGAGGAGGAGGAGGAGGAGGAGGAGGAGGAGGAGGAGGAGGAGGAGGAGGGGAGGGGTAGCGAATCGGCTCACGCAGCTGATCTCCCAGCGGCGCCTCCTTGTCGTGGAGAGGCGCTGGGTGTGTCGAGGAGGGCGCCCAGCCCGCGGGGGAGGCCGAGACCAGCTGCACATGCAGCAGCAGACTGCTGAGGGCCAAAGATAGGGGGGGGGACTTAGGTGGCCACAGGTGAACCCTACCCCCGCTCCCCACGACTCCTAGAGGGGGTGGGGGTTCACTCCGCTCGAAAGCGCCGGAATGAAGTGACCCCCCTCAGAAATCGTGGGAGGTAAGGGTTGGGTGGGAAGCATTGGCCTGGAATCGGCGTTACATCGCCGATAGATCGGCAGTAGGCCCCCGATAGCACATCCGCACCATCCTGGGCGAGGTGGGGCTATCAGACCCCCTAAAGGCGATCAATGGGCGATTGGGGGTGCTTGCATCCCCGCCTATGCCTCACATCCACCCCGATCTTTGCCCCTGAATTGCGTACAGGCGCCGAAGCGAGACCACCGTTCCAAATCGGGGATACGGACCGCGCTGGAGCCGGAGCATCATTCGGAGAAGCGCGGGTGGCCAGAATCAGAGCGCGAGCCAACGAGTGTTGTTCGTTTTCATGTTCCCTTCAATTTCCCTGGTTTTGTCTTCGTTCCCAAGGCCAACACACCGTTCAGCTCGCGCCCTGACCCAGAGCGCAAGTGTCACGCTCACTTCGCGTGGGCCGGACTCGGTGCCACCGAGGTGGCGGTTCGGTGAGGCTGGTTGTCTACGCCAGGGGGGGTGTAGCACCCATGGCCTCCTAAATGGGGTGCGAGCACATTGGGTCGGAAGATCGCGCCGCATCGCCCATGCATCACCGATACATCGACGATGCATCGACGACGTCGGCGATGCATCGGCGACGTCGGCGTAGAGGAAATCGGCCTCCGCATCGAGCCGAATCGTCGATGCATCGGCGATGCGGCACGATGCTCCGGCCCCACCTGCTTGGACCCCACCTGGGAGGCCTTGTCCCGATCACCACCACCCCTTCCGTCCGACCTGGGCCTCGAGCCGCATCGCGAGGGAGCTCCGGCGGCGCGGCACGATACCCTCTGCTTCCGGCCCGGTGCTTCGGGCAAGAAGCCCCATTGGGGGCTGCTAGCGGCGCCCTCGTCGCGATGCGGCATGGGTGCCCCCTCGAGTCCGAAAGATCCAACACATTGACAAAAATCAAGGCGACGATTCTTCACCGTTTCGGCCTCCTAGAGCGTTCTTTGGTTCACTCTTGAAACGCCTGGAGCGTGTTCTACTTCGGGCTCTTGACAGGCTACAGACGCTTAAGCAACGGCGATGTTCTCGTAGCGTTTTGGAAACTGTTGTTCAAGCACTTTGAGGCCCGTCGCTGAGCATCATGCTCTTTGTTCGTGTTTTCTCTTTTCTTGCCGAGGGCCGTGAGTAAAAACTGCTCCAGATGACAGGCCGGTCCCGGAGAAGGTGCCGAGACTTCCGGGGGCCCCGCATGGAACAAGTCAAGACTTCGGGTGTCTGGGCTTCTGCACCCGGCGCGCCCCTGTGGCAGGCCCCCAAAGCGGCAAGCTTTTCGAGGAGCAGGCTGGGGTCCACTTCCGGCGCCCCGGCGCACACTCCAGGCGGGGGCCTTTCGCCATGCTCGCCTCCTAGGGGCCCCCGCGGGGCCACTTCTTCAGGCTCCCCGCGCGCCCAGCCACGCGCGTGAACGCAGGGGGGATGAGGGAGGCGCGGGAGCGGGAGGAGGCAGGAGGAGGGGTGCGGAGGGAGCAGGGAGAGCGGGGGAGCATCTCCTCCTCACCCCCCATGGCTCCCTCCCTCCATGCTCCTCCTCCTCCTCCTCCTCCTCCTCCTCCTCCTCCTCTTCCTCTTCCTCCTCCTCCTCCTCCTCTTCCTGCCTCATCCTAGCTCATCCTAGCTCTTGCGTTCTCCAGGGGAGGCCGCAAGGCCTTGCGGGCGACTTGTCGTCCGCCCGCATGGCGACGGTGTGGTGCCTGGGGGGCGGGCAACTGCCCATGCGCCCCGGGTGTAGAGCCTTTCTCTTTTGTGGCCTCTCCGTCTCTCTCTCTCTCTCTATATGTTGCTCTCTCTCTATATAGATTCCTCTCTATCTGTTGCTCTCCCACTCTCCCGCACGGCCCATGAAGTAAGTCATCCGTCTAAGATAGCCTCCATCTCGAGACTACACAACAAACACTTCACCATGCACGCGTCCCCAATCCTTTCTCGTTGTAAGCAACTCCGCCTCGTCGCGCCCCCGCGGACCGCAAATCCGTCTTGTCGCACCCCCAGGCGAGCTGGTAGGGCGGGCCGAGCGATCCCCCCGAGACTTCCTCATGATTTATGACCTTGAAAAGTGGAATGCGCAACAGATTTGCTGATGGAGGAGGGGTGAGCCACAGCGCTGCGCACATTCGTCGCAAAGTTTGTAGCCATCTCACAGATGCAAGGTGGCTCCTTGTCAAAATGCCGCTGTCGCTCCCGCGCCGCGCAAAGTCCTTGCCAAATGTTGCACAAGCTCCACGGGAGGAGCACCTGTGGTGTACAAGCTTTGGCGTTCGCCCCCCCGCCACGCCCATTCGGCTTCACACTCTGCAGCCGGTTCGCGGATGGTGGGCAGTGCCTTTTCACGTCGGGTCCTCCCCCCGCGCCGCGCGCATTCGTGTGAGAATTTGGAGCACTTTCACGGGTGGAGGGCGGCTCCTTTTCCAGAACGTGGCTCAGGCCATATCTCCGCGAACGTTCGGCGCACCAGCTTGCAGACGCTTCACGGACGGAGGGGGCGGGAGGGGCACAAAAAGGCTTCAGCCTTGCGCACGATGCACATCCGTCTTCTTTAACGTCTGCGACATTGTCATGGGTGAAAGGGGGGCGTTTTCAAAATGGTGCCCTCACTCTAGCGCGGCGTGCATTCTGCCTAAAACATACCACTAGCTTCGCGGATGTAGGGCGCTTGAATTTCAAAATGGACCTCTCGCCCTTGCGCCGCGCGCATTCGTTGCTCCATGCAACGTTCCGTAATATAACTATTTCTCGATATGGAAATCTCGGCTGGGACCTCGCTGAGTTCCAGGACCCCGAGCTTCATCGCACGTAGCTCTGTACAGATCCCCGGCCCTTCTTTTTCCAAATGGAGGACTTGTCGCTGGGGAGTTCCTCGAAGTTCAACGGTTACACAAATGGGAGAGCAATCCCTCTTCGAAAGGGGAAGGTCGCTTGACACCTGGTTGAACTGTATGGTCACTGTTTGTCCCTGCCTACGGGGCAAAAGATCCTGAGCAGTTTTTGCGTCTTTCCCAAAATGGGAACCATTGAAAACATGGCCTCCCAAGGACTTTCAAGGT